TCAATAGAAAACTAAATAAAGAATTCCTTCAGATACATGAAAAAAAAATTACAAATGCTTGATACTTTTCGCCAAGCAGCATCTTAAATATTACTTTGTATTCACGTATCAATTATAATTTTGACAAAAAACCACACACATACAATGAAAAAATAAAATAAAAAGTATCCAAAATTAAAACCTCTCTGTAATATGTGATTTCAAAGTAACTTCAGCTAAAGTAATTTTATCAGCTCTATTTTTTAAAGTAACTTTTTATTAAGAAGACTGGTTTGATCAACGGCTTCAGAAGAAGAAAGAAGAATGAAAGAAGGATAATTAAATCTGCATTTTGCGAAATCACCCTTCATTCGGCGCCAATGATGCTGCGGTTGCTATTTCAGACTGCGACAGGGGCCTTAACAAGACGAGATTTAGGGCGTCCCAGGTGGCAGACTTGGGGCCCTAGCAGGTGGCAGTTTATATCGTGTACCTCGACGGAGTTCCCGGACCATTTAACCGGGACGTAAATGTTAAAAGCCCGCCGTCTCTCCCTTTACGTTCCGCGCGTATCCGCAAACGTTACGACCGGTTTTACATTCAAGTTTCGACGCGCCTTCGAGATCCGCATGGAGTTTCACGGGTGATAGCTAGAAAAAAAAAAATGCGATGTACTCTTCTGACGCACAGTGGAGAAAAGACGCAGAGCAGAAATTACTGCGAAGAAACGACTCGTTCGAGTTGCCATCGTTTCACAAGTTTCTCCATCCACCGCCGATCTTGTAATCGGATTTAGAGAAGAATTCTTAGAACCACCTACCACGCACTCTAACTTTTTTTTTTTAAACAAAACGTATTTAAAATTAATACAAAACAAATTTCTGTAAACAGTTAATTTGATGCTGGAGAAAGCACGCATTTTCATTATACAGCTCGATTATTAGTATCGATATATTATTCATTAAATAATATTAATATATAAAATATTAATCCTAATACTAAATACAAAAAGCCGCAAAATAATTACCCTGTTAATTAAACTGCCCGGCCCTAGAGCTTATACTGCAATTCATTAAAATTATTGTATGTTAACTCGATCCCTAATAATGAGGAAAAACTGCAAAGAAAACTCCATAAGTTCAATCCTTTTTTTCTGCGCGACACATTCTTACTCACGGGTCATTAAGAATTTTCGTAAGGACGTCGACTAATGGTATCGGTTGGATTACAAAGTTTTTACAGCCGCGCCGTTTCCCACACCGAGAATACGCGCCTAAACACCTGCATCCCTTTCTCACAATTCTCCCAAGACGCAACCTTTCTTCTCTTTCCTGCGGGGTTGCGCGAGAAGTTTCCGCTTCGCGAGTGCAGACTTTTCGCGGCATTTAGCCGCCTCGGCTCGGGAGACCGTAAAGTTAAATATCGAAGGAGGATTTCTAAGACGGAGAGACACGAGAGGGGGGTGGAAGAAACACCACCGTCGCCACGTAAATTGGCTTCGCCGCCAGAGGCGGTCGGTTAATCGCGCGAGGTCGCGGCGACCGAGCAACAAACCGGGAACAAATAAAGAACGAAGTTAAAATTCAATTCGGCCAGAAGAAACAATCGAAGTCCTGAACGCGAAAACTGGGGAAACTGCATTTGCGACTGTTTCAGCAAAGTTAGGAGAAATCCAGGGAGACACATGGAAATTTCATGAAGCTCTCTTTGTCTTAAAAAGAAACGGATAATAAAATTAACATAGTGAAATATACATCGTAATATGTGTGACTTTTTACACATTTAAATGCAAATGCATTCTCGAAAGTATCTGCATAATTATCATATAATACACATAATTTATATCATAATCTCCAATTTATTATTATCATATTTCAACGTTATAAAAAACGTGATAATAAATATAAAGATATATAAGTGTAGAGATAAATCAAGAATTTCGAAGCAATGCTTAATCCCTTTTGGAAGAAGAAAACATACGCTTTCCACAAAAGCGCCGTATCGGATTATATCCAGTAGAACAAGTCAAGCTTTGATCAGACTTCGGCAAAGCGCGCGCTACGCACAGAACGTGCAGAATGTATCCAATAAACTCATTCGCGTCGTTAAAATTTCAAAGTACAGGGTAAAATTAAATAATTAAAATTTCAAAGTTTCTCAGACAAACAACTTATATAAACGAGCTTTGATATGTAATTCTCTCGCACTAATTCCATTTCTACCAATGTAGTTTAATTTTAATGGTACAACTAACTTTACATCTTTTTCAAGAATTAAAAAAAGATGAAGAGTAAGTTGAATCTAAATTAAAGTTAATCTACGTTGGCAAAAACGGGCATTAATCGTACAGTGAAACTCGAGTGTAGAGTTAAATGTTCATCTCTCTGGCTCGTATTTTCATCAAGTTGAATTAGTATTTTCATCTCACGGTTCATCCAGATTTCTCAAGATAAGTGTCAGTCCGTATGACAAGCACTTTCTTTTTATATATACATATAGCACAAATCATACGATACCCTAACAGATCGAAGGTTCCGTCTGAACAATAAGTAAACTCCAGGTGGGTAGCTTTGACGCGGGTTAATCTCCCGAGCTGATTACAAGTCGCGAACAGCCAGACACAAATCCAGTTCCGCTCCTGCCAAAACCGTCGGTATAAGCCTACTTACACACGGCTGAACATGTAGCCGGCCAATCGTCGATTGGTAATCCGGGAATGTTTTCTGCCCGGTCCATTATCGGCTTAGCGCGGCTCCCGTGCTACTCTCCGTTTCGCAACGACCTGATTCCACGCGAGAAAAAAAAAAAAAAGAAACGCCACCCTATATTCCAGACGCTCCGGATAAATCGATAGTGTTAAAGATAGTTTCTTTACGCGCCATTTCGCATTCACAATTTCTCAAAAGGGAATTCGAAGAAATGTAAAAATCCTCTACGCCGCGATCGACATAATATGAATTCTGCAAACGTTTTTCAATAATAATCGTAATTTGTGAACTACATTTTTCGACAATTTTCGGAATACTGTCAATGAGATGAATTTTGTATTGCTGTCTGTTTTCAACATGACTGTTCATATTTCCCGGCAATTTCAATTTATCGTTGCATTCATTCAGTGAGACAATAAAAATTTGTCACGAACGCGAATAAAAATTTATTAGCAAAGAATTTGTTTGCTGCTCGTTTTACCGATGTAAAAATAATATCGCCGATTAAGGACGGAGTGGCAAGCGTAAACATCCTGTTTTCACAAACTTGTGAAAGAAAGGATGGCTTTCGTGTATGTACACTATCATCATCGAGAATATTATTCGCTGCGCTATTGAGCACGCTTAAAAATGCATGGGCCACTCAACCCAGACCGGAAGCACTCCAGTTATCCCGTTATCCAGTATCCTCGGGGATAAGGCCTCCCTTAATGATGACCAGCAATATTTGCTCCTTTGTTTTCCTATCAAGAGAAAAATAGTGCGCCCCTTCGTCTCGTGCATTAGTGCGCCCCTTGTAAGATCACGAGGTGTTTTATTTTCATGAACGAGGAAATTACAAGTAAAAATAATTAAAAAAAAGTCTTAAAGTTACGAAGGATTACTTTCCGAAGCCGTAATCCTCTAATATATGTACGTTGTAAAAGTAAATTGATCGCAAAGGAGAAACAAAAGAAGATAATTCAATAATAGAATTTTATAGAATAATCAAATTGATAGAATTTTGAATTTGTATTCACACCTCACTTTCATAAGACAATAATGCGTGCATTTATCGATAAAAGTGAAATGTGAATATGAACGTAAAGCTCTGCAAAAAAAAAAACATAAGACTATCAATTTGATTATTCTATAAAATTCTTTTACTTATTTCTTACGTTCTTGATATTCCTTTATTTCTTATATTTAAACTGTATGCTAAATGCGTATTCGTCGACGAAAATGAGTTGTGAAAAAGCTATACAGAAATATGAGACTATCAATTTTGTTATTCTATAAAATTCTTTTATTTGATTATCTTTCGCTTCTTCGTGATAAATTTACTTTTACAACCCGTATTTACATGAATCTGCATAGGTAAATCTTGTTATCGCGGCGCGATGTTTAGAACTGCTCCAATTTAATTCACTATCTTCCAAGTATTTCGATAACAAAGCAAAGTGTCGATTCCGCGACAGGTGCAATTAGCGTCTTACGAAAATTGCGCAAAGTCTATTACTATGCGCCAGGCAAAATCCCAACAATTCCGGCGTTCGCAGGAAGATTATTCTATAATTTTAACAATCAATTATTTAGAATTCAGTTATCTTGGCGAAGCTACCGGCGTATATTCAATTTTAAAACTACAAACAGTCGCCGAGGTACCGCTCGCAACGAGGCACTCAATATGTAAAGCGCGATGTAACTTCGCCGCGGCCGCAACTCCGCGCGCCGCGTGGATTAATCAAGCGGAATTCACGCCCGACTTGTAAACGTTGATCAAATATCCGTGAGCGAGTTAACGACCGCGGGATTGTCTGTGAAATTCGACTAATTCAACTCCCGGTGCGCGCGCGATGTTTTTCGGCGACGACCTCCGTCGAAGTTAAATTACGTTAGCCCTTTCGTTTCCCTGCGTCCTCCAATTAGGGACACACTTTCCCTTCATTGGTAACACGCAAACACACAGTTTGCATGCAGAGTTATATTTTTCTTTTGTTTTCATAATTTTACGACAGTCGAGTCCACGAGTTTTCTCTCTCCCTCTCCCCCCCTCCCCCTCTCCCTTTCTCTCTGTCTCTCTAATCTGAACGGATAAAAAAATTCTCAAAAAAATTCCTGCAACACGCCGCAGTCACGTAGAAACTCGTGAAAAATTTCCATCCCTTCCTAACATACATACGCGTATGTATTTGAATATGTATATAATTCATCGTCGCATTACACGCGATACTGCATTCAACGTACCGACTGCGACCGCTTTCAATATAAAACGAAGAAATAATAAATGAACCGACCGTCACGTACCGGGTGGCACTACTGTTGCTCACTTACCGAATAAAGTATGTCGAGGGTGATCGGATAGAGCAAATGCTCCACGATGACTCGGAGTACGGTGTTGGGTCCGCCTTGGGTCTCGCCAGGTCCGGATACCTGATTTTGTCCCGCAATCGCGACCTGGTTGTTCGAATTCTGTAACAGAGAAGAAAAGTGGAGATGAATTAAGCAAACTTCGAAGGAACAAACTAATTGCGATCGACGTTTACGCGTCGTCCAAAGTACTGAAGATACAAATTGCCGAAGTTTCGAATGGTACACTTACTAGACAAAGTAATTTTCGTCGAACTTGGCCTTTTTGTATTTTTAAGACTTCGTATAGAGGCGAATAATTAAAGGCTTATTTATATTAATTGTTTTGTTGTTAGCATAATAATAATAATAATATTAATATAATAGAAATCTATGTACAATAAGCCTTTAATTGGATATTGGTTAATAATATAATAGGAATAATAATCGATATAGTTATTTTAAAATCCAACACAGTTCAAGGTCTTTAAAAGCATCGATATAAAAATGGTCTGTTATGTAACGTATTACGATTATTAATAAATTTCGAACGAAATTTAAAACGTATATTAAATTGTTAATGAAATAAATATCAAAGCTTTTTACTTTTGTATGTGTGGGAAATTATTTGCACTGACTAAAATTGAAACGCTTTTATTGCAGAGGAATAAAAAAGTTTCTGGAAATAACAAAAACCTTTGTCTTTATCTAAATTGTAATACAAATGAGGACATATTTATACACATAATTTGTATTAAATCATATTAAAAAAAGCTATTGTATCGGAGAAGTAAAATAATTGAAAATTTCCTGGTTTAAAGAATACATCATGAATGACCTTACTGACTTCGATGCGATGCATGATCCTCCTTCTTCGCACGATATACAGATCACGGAAATTCTCTCTCGGCGTGTCTGCTGAGCGTGATGAAGCGGAATAGAAAATGATTTCTTTGAAGTGAGAAGCAGAAAGAGCGAGCGTCAGAAGAAAAATGGAGAGAAATGCGAGAGAGCAAACGAAAATAGATGCAAGAGTATTAAAATTGGACGCATACTAAGTGTAAAAACGAGGAGACATTATACTTTGTAAGTGAGAGCCGTATAATGGACGATGGCGCTGCTGGGTTATTAAAAGGAACCGTGTCTTTCTGAGTCTCGCTGAGTGAAACACCCGGTAAGTTCGACCCTAATATTAGATCGAAAGAGAAGTGGATTGGAAAAGAAATCGTGGCAACGTGCTACAAATCCTACAATAATCAATTTACAAGATTTCGTCTTCTCAACTTACAAGATAATAATTGTAAGATAATTATTTGATGCGTTACATTTCGACTAGATAAATAATTGAATGTGAAACATTAGGTATATAGAACGTATAAATACAATAATACATCATATATCTTCACTTTGAGAAAATTTGAGGCAATATTTCTTCGCTGCAAAAAATTTATTTACCAAAATATCAACGAGATCATATTTTTTTTAAATTAAAAATGTATATGTGACCTTCCGAAGATAAATTTCTCAATTAATTTAAGGTCATGCTGTAGAAATTTGGCGGAAGTTCATTCTTCCTATCTTTCGCACGTATGAAATACGTCTCGCGAACCGTCGCCGTTTTCATCAGCTGCCGCTGCCGGTAAAGCTGTCAAAGTGAACTTTAAAGGGGTACGACGCGGCAAGCATTAGCATAAAATGCTAAAGAAACGCGCCACATTAGAATTTCGATGTAGATTAAAGCGCGGCACCCGCCCGAGCGAGGCTCCTAAATCTGACTTCGTAAAAATAACTTCTCTCGAGTAGAGTATCCTAACAAAATTTCCACGACGATGACGAGAAATGGTCTCGTTTCCTAGTTCGCGCAAAGTCGTAGAATACCTGAATTTTTAGATGCAGATACTAAGCTAATGATTCTCGCAAAGATTTCTTAAATATGCGTTTAAGAGAAAATTAATTTTAAGCTACTTTATGTAAAACCCCGTATCAAATTACAGACTGAATTGGAATTTCACCAATCAAAATAAAATTCGCTAAACTTAATACGTAATCCGTTTTCTTTCTTTTGAGTAATTAAATTCCAATCGGGCGCGAATCACAACCTAAATCCCTAGTCTGATACAAGCTTAATATAACTCCATGGACATTTTATAGGTAGATACAAGAACAGCTTTAACCGACGAATAAATAAAACAAGAACAAGGTGTAAAGAGGAATTGATTATTATTTATAGCTCGTGTTACTGTCTTCTATATATGGCAAGCCGTTTCGGATAAGATTGGAATAAAGAATAAATACACACAGCTTCACATACCACTTTCTATGATAATATCAATATACACATCTGTAACTTGAAGAGAACAATGAGAAAAAAAAATTATAATAATAAATATTTATTTAAAAAATAGGGAGTTAAATGAAATTGATGGTGTCTGTACTAAATATAAATATATTTTCATGTTTAGTAAATTTAATTGGTACTATTCAAACAAATAATTTATTAAAATTGAGTACATTCTTTCAGTGTAAAAAATTATTTTTTTTACGTAAACGATCATTTCATGTTTTTACATTTCAATTAAAATTACTGTTATTAACAACATATTGAATGTTATTGATTGTTTTCCAATTTATTAGCATTTGAAAATATTATGGATATTAATTTAATCACAATTTTCTGAAACAAGTGACAATTACCAAAGCCTAAATAGTCGAATATGGAATTCGGAAGATCCGAGTTTGAATCCCAGTTGAAGAATATTCTTCACAATTATTTACTGTTTTTAAGATGTTTATTATCAATATTATTTAAACTACTGTCAATTTAATTTTTGATAGGTATACTACTACTTTAGTTCTGTTTACGACTGCATGTCGAGGCTGAAGATATTTCGGCGCGCAGTTTGCAAAATTAGATATATAATATAAAATCCATACTAAAATGTTCAGAGAGATCTAGCTTATACCGAGTAGGCTTTCGTTATTTAGTTGTGTGTTCACAAAACATGATCTTATGACTTTTGGAATAACCGATAAACAAGTGAAAAGACTAACTCAATTAAGAACATATATAATACTATAGTATCATCTTCACGGAAGAAACGTAATCGCGGATATGCTACGTTCAGAAGGTGTAATGTTTAACCGCAATGTCCTGACCTCAAAAATACGACACGTTGAGAAAGGACATAAAAGTGAGAAGTAAAGCTACAGAATATAGTTTTCTTCAGCGGCGAACGATGATCGCAACAATTCGGAAGAAATAACCCGAGTGCACGGCGAGGGAGTAAAATTCTATTTCAAGAGACGCTCTTAAACGCAAGAGCTTTCGTTTTTGCAGCAATGATGTTGAATATACGTCCTCAGACGAATTAAAATATTAAAAATCTAGGTGTCTTTTTATAGTCCTTAAATACTTATTGTTTTGAAAAAGATATGAGTTTGATAACGTCTTTTCTTTTAACTTTGTAATCATGTTAAACGTCTCAAGATGTATCAAGAAGAAGAAGAAGAAGAGAGCTAAGAAAAAAAAAATATATCGCGCATATAAAAATGTTTCATAATTCTCAGACATATTTTCTTAGAAAAGAAGAAAAAGCTAGCAGCAACGTGTGAATCTTTATGTAAAAAGTTATACCGAATCGTTTCTCGCAGACAGTATATCGAGGCTAAATGAATAGTTAAATGGCCAGTGTTTCCTTCGCTGTGCGCGTAAGATCTTACAGAGAATTTACGAGCGTGCTAAACCTTGCCTCATCGCGCCCTCGTTTCTCTTCACATCAACCAACCATCATTTGTAACAACGTTTCCATCTTTGACGGCTACGCTCCAGCGCCACTTTTTAACGCGTAATTCAGTTACACCTCAACGCGTCATGCGTGCGTTCGTTTAACGGCGATGTAAAGCAGATCGAGACTTCATCGCAAACACGGCGGATATTATTATCGCCGTACTCCCTAATAATTTTATGAGCAATTTTATTTGCATCGTGCGTTCGCGATTTAGTCGAGTTTCCGCTCAGATCCGAAACGGCTTCCGGCCCTGCAATGTTCATGGTGTACTAGTGTTACTAACTGCAAATGTAAATGTTTTACAAAAGAACTGAATATAGATTAAGCAGGATAAAAAAATTAAAATGAATGAGAGCAACTGGAAATGTCAAGAATAATCTGAACGAGATCGAGATGAGGCAAATGTTGCCTCGTAAAAAGTTAAAGGTAAAGCACAGCTATCTGCTGATTTTTAATTTTGCGCTTACTTGCGATATGAATAATTTGCAGCAAATGCTAACTGAGAGCTATTTCACCGTTAAATCACTCTGACATGAAACTAAAGGCATAAATAAAGTGGCTCGGCAAAATTCATGTCCTGATGACCCTTCGCGATGGATAATATTCGAGATCGCAGTGCTTTCTTAAGAAGGAAGGATTAATTTTGACATTCCAGTATCGAGAGAGAAGAAAGCGAGAAAGACGGACGAGACGAGAGAGAAAGTTCAGCCAGCTGCTAATTAATTAGCCTGACAAACGTTAACTGACGGCTGTTTCCCCTCCCGTCGGGTCTGCCCGCCGGCTGTAAGGGTGGCGTGCGGCTGGCCATTTTATCCGGGAATTAATCCTAAAAGTTGCGCGGCATACATCCCCGGCCTCTCGCACTCCACAGTGTTCCATCTCCGTTTCCCATCTTTTCACCTCGATGCCGATCCCACCCCTCCAATTAGCGGCCTATAAATTTCCATGCGTGCGGAACATAAATTCGCGCCGACGCTCCTCGCTCTTATTTCCTTCCCACCGACCCCCATTTCCATCTTTTTTTTTTCCAAAGGAATTCCCGGGACCGCCTGCCTTCTCTCGATGTGCAATCCTTTTTATCGATACCATGCGTCTTCCACGAGAGACACGCGATATCGAGAGATTCCTGGAATCCCATCAAGTCCCGCCGCGAAAGAAATTTTCCGGCTTGAGTACGCTTCTGGAAAATCTAATTTTATTTGCTCGCTTATTGGAACGAAAATCAAATATCGCGTAAAGGATATAGGGGTGCTTATAGCTCTTTGGCCGCCGCCGCGCCAGAGAGGTCCATCCGGTGTATTTATTGCTGGCGCGAACGGCAGTGAATTTCGCGCG